TTTCATAACAAAGTACAACAAATCAGACAGTTAACAGTTAAAGAATTTTGGAGGCATGTTTCAGGAATATTTCAAGATCCAGCTAATTTGTGCAGCACAGATTGCACTGTTTGATATTTAGAGAAATCAAAATGGTGGGAGGGACCTCAGTGGTTTTATTTACTACCAAAAAAGTGGCCAAGGAATACTTTTAAAAGCGACAAAAAAATTGCCAAAGAAAAGAAGATGTAGATAGTTTCATCTATGATTAATGTCAGTTTCTATGATTTTTAAATAACCATCTTTCAAGTTATAGAAAAATTGTTAGAATAGGATTCATCAATTTGTGAATAACTACAAAAACATGAGAAGAGAAAGTTGAGCGTACTGCCATTGAACTAAATAATGCAGAAAAAGTAATTATCCATTTTATTCAAAGCAGTTCTTTTAGAGGAATAAAAGATAAAAAGTTAGTCTCTAAGCCTTTTTGTAGAAGATACATTCTAAATCTGCAATATTTCAAAGAGATCATACATCCTAATTTAGAACTCCAGCGATTTCACCAAGCAGCCACTTATTGTCAGAGTTTTGACAATGGAAGAACATAAGGGAAGTAATATTGGATTTTATCTGGAAGAAAACCTGTTTTACTTGTTATATGGACTTGCATTGTTTGTAAACCCTATTCTCCAAAAATGTGAATCCTCCAGCACCATCACTGGCAGCAGATCGAATGAAAGATGCTGCTATTCAAATTACTGAAACTGTCTTTGCAGGTCCTTTACTTCTTAAAGACAAAATGAGAGCAGGGATTTGTCCTTTTCTGTTAGTTAAATGCCATTGCATTCACCTAGAACTTTTCAACTTCACTGTCAACAAAAGCACTTTTACAGGCTTTTTATCACTTTAAGATGTGGGAGACCCTCAGTAATTTTTACAATGGAAACACTTTTGCTGGTACAAGTAATGCTTTTTCCTTAACTGATTTCAAATATGTGTCTCAACAGATGGATGATGAGGCCATTATTTGGAATTTTATACCCCCTGGCACTCCATGGTGGGAGCATCCGATTAATATTAAGAATGTTAAGAAAAATCCTTGGGAAATCCAGTCTGAACTATGAAAGAAATGTACACATTCAATTCCTAATTTCAGGCATGACAGTGGCACAAAGTTTTAAAAATGCAGACAACATTATATCCAAAATATGTGATGCTTTTTGAAACAGATTTCACCAAGAATATCTTGCAGCTTTATTAAGGAAGACATCTTGAGCTTGTGATCTTAAATAGAGAGACATAGTTTTAGTAATAACTCATGACAGAAAAAGATTACTTTTGTCTTTTGGTAGAATATCGGAACTGTTTCCTGGTACAAATGGTATAAGTCAACATGCCAGAGTTCAAACTCAGAGTGGTGAATTATAGTTCAGATTCTTTTTCCATTGGAGATTTCATCAGCAGACGAGACTTCTCTAATTATCACTCAGAGTTCCAGTAAATAAAGAGCTGACGTAAGTAAGTTACTAGATCCGAAAGGACAATTCAAATTTCAGATGGCCTGGACTTACAAAATTTATTTTTTTATTAATTTTCCTATCATATTTTTATTTTTTGCACAGCAATAGTATTTTACACTTTTTTGTAATTTTAGTGCCCTGTATTCTGTTATTTTAATGATATCCTTCAATACCTACATCTAAAGTTTAAATGCCAGGACCTGAAACTTTTCTATTATAATTTTGAAAAGTTCAATTTAATTTTTACATTGCAAGGTGGGAGGATAAAAAATATAAATTTACTATACTAGCAACCTGTGTCTCCAATGCGCAGTAATAATTTTTCTTGTAAAAGATTTTTTTTTGTTGCAACAGCAATGTATCGTGAGAGAGCATTGTTGATTATGCTTAGAATTCAAAAGAGCGAGAATAAATATGTCATTTTTAAATATGTATTAGAGTTTTACTTCAGAGTTTTATTATTTTCAGATCTTGTAGTAGTTTATTTTGATATAACAGCTGATTCAGAAAAAAAAGGGGGGAAGTCTTTCTGGAACAAAGTAGTTCTTTTCCCACAGCATTTACTAGATTATGGAATAGCATGCTAAGGCTATTTGCCAATGGAAAGGGATGCCAAGAGCCTATGCAGCCAACCCATTTGTCATTTGCATGCCAATTGAGCTACTAGTAGTCTGTGTTTTTATCTGCACCACCGATAGGCCCTTTTCCACAAAATTTTAATGCATATATCAATAACACATCTCCAGTTCGGGGGGGGGGGGAATAGAATTTTAAAATTGTGTTCTTTTGAAGGAAGGGGGGGGAGATATTAATTTTCCCTGCTTTGACATCTTTTCAAGCAATTTATGCAAAAGCATGCATTATGCATATTGTATTCAGTGTTTTTTAGCTACCCAGGCATAATAATAATTTATTATCAAAACAAATGGTGGCTTTTGACCTTTTTTTGAAATAATGCTGGATTTTGATCGACTGTTCCACTGAAATACAGCAAAGCATGCAAAGGATATCTGTCTAGTTAAGGTATGCCTTCATGAAGAACCTTTTAAAGAACATAGTTTGCATTCACTTTGAAACAGCAAAAAATCCCAAAAATATCCATGCAGTCAACTCCTTCAACAGGATTTGAACCTAGATCAAACTATGGGTGTTCAGTTACATTACCCACTTGATCACTGATAGGTCATACGAATTTTTCATTATTGAACATATTTCTATTTTTAATACACAAAACTAGTCTATGACTAGGATGCAAAGGAGCTTCATGTCTATTACACAAAATCGCAGATTACTTAAAAACTCTTGGCATAAACTTTTAAATGGCCACTCCACTTAAATCACAGATTGTATCATATAAGTCAGGATATCTGATCACTTGACTCAAACCCAGCTGTTCAAAATTACTAGATACTATTATTAGATATTATTTCTGTCTATGCATTCTTTTTGATTTTACTTATCCATATATAATACCACACTAAAGAGCCAAAACATTAAGATAACCTACTCAATAAGCTATGCTGCATGAACTGCTGCAACTTGCTTTGACATGGATGCCATAAGTTCTTGGTAGATGACTGGAGGTAGGAGGATGACTTGGTAGATGACACTACACCCAGTGTCTAAGAAGCAGTCGAGATAATCCAACATGGTGGTGGTTCAGCTATGAACTGCCGCTCCATAACATCTCAAATGTTCTTCATCGAGTTAAGATTCAGTGAGGTATGTGGTCAGGACATTAACTGAAATTCATCTTTATGGCTCAATGAATGACTCCAACACAATTTGAGCCTTCCGATATGGGGCGTTGTCTTGCTAGAAGATTCCATTTCCAGTTGTGTAGACAGATGCCATTTAAGGGTGTAACTGATCAGCAATTACGTTTAGATAGTTTCCAGCTTTTATGGTCTGTTCTATCACAACTAAGAACCTCAGAGCTGCCCATGAGAATGTCATCTAAAGCATAATGCCACCACCAGATATGTACGACCTGCTATACAGGGGAGAGCAACAGTTTGCCTAGAAGACAGCATACTCTGGCACAACCATCAATGTGAAGAATGAGAAATCACAATTCATCTGACCAGGCAACTGTCTTTAATTATCCATGGTCCAGTCTAAATGGTCTAAAGCTCACGCCAGGCATAGTTGACACTTGATCAATAGAGGCACACGAGACGTCTGCTGTATAAGACCATACCCAACAGTGTCTGCTGAACTGTGTGTTCCAAGACACTTGCACCAGGACTTGTCACCAGGCTGTCAGCCGAGCCACTGTCTAGTACCGATTTTGCTGTACCAAGTGGCTCAGTCTCCGACGTCTTTTTTTCTTTGATGATGCATGGATATCCAACACCTTGGCATCTACTGCTGGTTTTACCATCATTTATTCACTATGCATAAAAACTAACTATGGCAGATCATGAACAAACTACCAGTCGTTCAGTTTCGGAGATACTCATTGTGACTCTTCGGCCATTACAACCTGTCTTCTATCAAATTTGCTTAGATCAGCACTCATGAAAGTAAGCGTAAGAATGATTTCTTACCTTCTCCAGCAGCAGTTAAATACCATTCCCATTTAATCACATGCTCTCCACGTCATCCATACGGGTTCATTGAAAAATGTGAGGATGGTCATAATGTTTTGACTTATTAGTGTATCTAGACACACACATATATATACATATAAACTATGACAAGATTGCTGGGGCAAATTTAAAAGGCTGGGCACCCATATTCGAAGTTGCTCAGAGGATTTAATTTTTGATATCATTGGGAATATTTAATTTTATATCTTTTTATACCAAAAAATTGTTGGGGGGAAGCATTTTCTCAGTTACTTTACTTGCTTCATTTTAATAAAACAAGGCAATAGAAGCCAAGCGTAAACTTGATGAACAGTGGTAGTTTGACCTAGCATCAGACTAGAGAATGGGCTGGCTACATGGCCATTTCTCTTAAGAAGTCTTCCACGAAAGCACTACTTCCCTCAAGAAGACAAGGCTTATGCTTTGCCATAATCTGAAGAATCAGATTCTTTTAAAGTAAGATATAACAATGAGATTAGTTTCAGCAGTTCAAATCTTGTAGTAACTGCTTGTGATCTTCATAAAGTGCCTTTTCATTAAAAAGAGTATACTGTCCTTTTCAACACTTTAAATCACGAAGATTGAATCTTTCTCTAAATAAAAAGGGGGAAAAGACTGCAGATAGTTAGACAAAGATACTGTTTGAATTATTTTCTGACTATTAATTAACATAGCTAATTTCTTGGGAAACAAGAAAATACAGTTAGAATCTGAAAACTTGTCATGTTATGCACAGAGACGTGTTAGAAATTTTACCTTCAAACGATACAATTTCAGTTAATCATTTAAATATGTACTCTGTTTTCAGAATTATATTACTTGTAATACAAAACCATTCTGTTAAATGCTAATGCAGTTACTAATAAAAATCACATAAAAAATTATCTAATGATAAATAAATCTACTTTACCGAAATAAGTTGATATTGAAGAAAATTACTAAAAACGATATTTGTCCTTTTTCTGATGTTGAAGTGTACTCAATTGCAGTAGGACTAATCTGGAACATAGAGTAGTAAAATTTAGACTGCAAGAACATAAAGGTTTTCAACTATTTATAGAAAATGATATTTTAACTCTCTGAGCTCCATGACCGGCTTTATCCGGTCATGAGATTTTTTATCACTTGTTATATACAGTACAAAGTCCATAACCCAGATGTCCATTATCTGGAATGATCTATAATCTGGACTTCAAAGACACAAACTTTTTTTTTTGTATGCTTTATGCATGTGCGCGTTGAAAGAAATGTTTAATAAAGTAAACAAATAAATATTTAGCCCCCTTTTTTTTTTTTGTAAAGTTTGATACCCTTTAGATCATAACTGCTCTTTATTTCATAAATGACGGTTTCAGAGGGTTAATGAATACAAAAAAATACTCAGGTAAAATATATTGTAAAGACTTTACATGTAACTTCATTCAAAAAGCAAAGAAAGAAAGTCTACTGGGATTTGGTTGCTAATTAAAGCATAAAATTACTCTAATAAATAAACTTTCTCATAAATAATCAGGATTACAGTCAGTGACGTAGCGAGGGGGGCCAACGGGGTGTATGATGCCCCGGGCGCGGCTCGTAAAGGGGCGCCAAATGATCTCCAAACAAGACTTTCCGTAAAATTTCAGTTTTTATGTTGATCAATTTCTGGAAAACATATTTAAAATTAATAATTATTGTACATAATTAATTATTTATTTTCTTGGTTTGTGTAATAAAATGTTTGCAGTACATCAACCAACTATCTCCTCATACAAAATGTTCTTTCTGACCACTTTATTTCTCTAAAATAGAGATTTTTTTTAAACGAAATGCCCGTATAGCTTTCACTTTTTATCTTAAAACGATAACACAACCTTGTCCCGAATTTCTTAAACATATCTAGTTTCCAAAAAACCGATTCCATAGTCTGGAAATGACATTTTGGGAAACTCCTGACGCTTCCAGTACAATGGATTGTGTTTTGACTCTCATGTAAATGACTGATGGCCTTTCTGGCTATCGATTCAACTAAGTCATCTTGCTGAGACATCGTATATTCACTGCTACAAAAGCATTCAGTGCGTGTCAATTGTTTTTTAATCTCCTACTACAAAAAGAATGCTGCAGGTCGCTCCTTATCTAAAACGCATGGTTTTCGACGTCACAGGCTAAATTTGCATATTCCCAAAGTTTGTAAACATTATAATTTTCCTTCATAATCTCTTCTACTTCCTTTTGTTAAAAAGGTTGTTGATTATATGGTTATTTCATACCGAACTCACAGATCTATGGAGAAAATGTTTTTCCAAACCTAAGAGTTGCACTTCAAATACTCCATACTATTTCAATATCAAATGCTAGCTATGAATGTTCATTCATCAAATTAAAATAAATTTTGACATATTTACAATCAATGATGGTACAAGATCCCTTAAGTTACTAAGCACTTTTAAATATGGAAAGAGAAAAATTTTAAATTATCGACTTTGATGCAGTAATTGATAAATTTGTTTCATTTCAAGAAAAATTTATACACAGTAATAAATTATATAAATATTTTACAGTATTATTAATAAGTAATAATTATCTATAATATATATTAAACTTTCAATTGTTTTAAAAGTTGAACTTTTTTAAAAACAATTATATAAATATATAAAATAAATAATACCTTTTTAACTAATTTTAGATCATCGTATGTCTGATTTTTCCGTCGACACAAATGCATTTCCAAATTCAATGCTAGTGTAGTTAGGTAGTGACTATTCTTAAAATATTTTAGAGTAGTTTAAGGCAGATTAAGCATTTTATTATTATTTGCACTATTTTCTTATTATTGATATATTCTATACATTATATTACTGTAATTATTTTTGGGGGGGGTGCGGCAAAAAGGTATTTTTCTTCGGGTGCCAGTTATGCTTGCTACACCACTGATTACAGTAAAGTAACAGATCTATTTGCATATTATTTTATATGACTAGATGAATCAGTTACATTTATTGAGTGAAAAATATTTTCTTGTTAAAAAACAGTAATGATGGAAAACAGAGTCAAAGGATGCAAGATTTACGAGTTTCTTTAATATTTGTAGAAAAGTAATTCTAAGGTTTACCTCCTTAACTCAGTTTCTCACTGCATTTACTAGTGATGAAGAAATGTTCCATCAATTAGGAAATATTCAAATCCTAAGTTATATAGTTTTCTTATGATGCTAGAAAATTGCTAATCAATATTTGGAATGTTTCTAAGTTATAAAGTACAATAAAAATTTCAGGTTTTTGTTTTATCTTTCCCTAGTTCTATCACTTCAACTGCGTAGTTTGTGCAAAACCTGCAGTTCCCAGTAAGTATATTAATCTCTTTTTCTTGGGTTACTTTGGAGACAAAACTTTGTTTCAATGTTTTAAGATTAATTTCATGCCGATACTTTCTGATTATACACCCCCCCCACCACGGAAAGTCATCTTCTCATTGGTAATTTTGTGAATGAAAGGAAAATATTTGTTTGACTACCTTAACACAACACAGATTTTGTTCTGTTCATAAAAAATAGAGAACAAAGAAAGCATTTTACAGGGAACAAAAAATTTACTGAAAAAAAAAATCTCAATGGGTGGGTATTTTTAGTCAGCAGACATTATTTAGTAATGTTCCTTAAGTATAAAGTTTGTAAATTCATGTGTATTGAAACACGTGTATGGTATACACATGCATTTGTTGGTTGTTGTCGTGTGTATACCTAAAAATATACCAAAAATATGACAATTCTATTTTAGTGTTGACATGGGGTTGTGAATAATCAGAAAGTACCTTCCCAAAAATTAACATGAACAATACTGAAGAATATCTGACTAAAAACTTGTGAATAAATCTGCTAGAATCCATTTATCTGGTTACAGAACAATTTTCATTAAGGTTAAAAAAAGAAAAAAAAATCTGCCGAATGCAGATTATTTTAAAGTTGCTTAAGATTTTTCATATGTTACATAAACTTTGAATTAAACATATACAAATAAATTTCATGAGGGCAGATTGGCTGTGTTCATGACATGTTAAATACTAAAGTAGAGGCACGTCAAATTGGACTAGCATTAACAATGGAACTATATTCATAAAATTATATTTGCTTTTATTTAAATTTGGTAAAACATTAAAACAGCACAAGCACCTCGAGGAGATTGTTATTGCTTACAGTGAGAGAGAAAATCTTATTTGCTACAAATAAAGGTCAGAAGCATGAGGGTACAAGTGTTGCCAATCAACGCTCCACAAGTGCTTATCTTTATACTCGGTATTACAAAAATGCATGGTTCTTCATCTTAATAAAATTAATCATTTAAAAAGTCAGTTGCTTATACGTTACCTCGGCTCACATTTTGTCGGCGGTAATTTTTTGGGCCAATAATTTCGCAAAAAAGCATATCCAATCATCCAGTGGCATTTTGGTAATCTTGACCTGTTTATTTGTAGTCTCCTTCTCTTCTTGTATAAAAGGGATATTGTTGCAACAGTTATTTGTAATTTTCCTTCTGTTCGTGAAATTAATTTATCTCCTTATTTTTCTTCAGTTGCTGAGTGTATAAATAATGACTAGTACGTATAGCCTACAAAATTTGCTACAGATGTCTTTGAAGAGTTTAGTATTGTTAACAAAATGTCACTAATGCTAGTGGCCTAATAAATTCTCAGAAATTACAGCCTAGAAAATTCGAGCCTGAATAACTGACAAGTAACTAAAATGTTATTTTATCTGTACTTCTTAAAGCGTTTTGCAACATTGTTATTTCACGTCATGAATGTGATAAAATAAAATACATACTATCATTTTGATTGAAATTTTTTAACTCAATTTCATCTTTACACTTCTTCATCCAAAATAAAATCCAGTAGTAATGATGAAATCTTGCACTAATAAGCAAATTGTGATTTGATTTTTTCATTTTATTCAAACATATGTTTAATATTTAGACAGTTTTCTGCTTACATCGCTTCACATTGAAATAAGTTGATGGCTTGTTTAATTAGTTGCTTAATTATGTGAGGGCTATCTGGCTAATGAAGGGATATCGCTATGGACGACATTTTGACAGTAACTGGTTCATATTTACATATTGTGCATACAGATATATCACCTAATATTCCATAAAGCAAGTTCCTTCATCACTCTGAATTCAGTTCCAATGCTCTCGTCCATTTAGTTGGCCACTAGTAGATCTAAGAAATGCAGAAATAAATGCCCATAACTTTTAAAGTTTACGTTCATTTCTAAGCTTTTCTTTTTTAAAAATAATAATATTAATGAATCTATGCAGAATTGGAAAATCCACCAAGAAAAATAAGATTATTTATCGACATAATTAGAAATGTATTAAAAACTGCATAAAGCAGAGTAAATTATTTCTATAAGCAACCATTGATGAAATGTATTTTTATGGGATACAACAAATCACAAGGTCAACAATAATTACGTGCATAAAACTAGTGAATACTGACAGTCGACATGAGTTTGAAACTCGGTGAAAGGGCGCTAGCTGCTTGGGAATTTTCATGTTTTGCCCCATGTATTACATGAATACTGTACAGCATCTCTTAGAAATATTTCTTTCTGTCCTAGCTTTATTTAAATCAATCCACCAAGAAAAGAAAGAGAACCAGGTTCAGAAAACAATTCTACAAATTTAAATAAAAATGCAATTTTAGAATGGCACAGTATTTGATTAAACTCACTTCAGAGATTTATTCAAAATGTATATCAACCTAAGATGGATCTTTAGTTTAATTTTAATTCATACATTGACATGGTTTCTGTTCTAGTTTGGAGTTTACAAATCATGTAATTTGCAAGCAATATATACAAATATTTGTAGAAAGGATATAATTAATGATACCAAATAGATTTGATGACTAGAAAACAGCTACATCTGGTACAACACTAAACTTATTCAGGTATTTGTTAATATATGTGATTAAAGAAAAGTAACAAAATTAAAATCCTACACATCGCATCAAGCATATAGAGCACCAGTATCAATAACAATGTATGTGTGAGAATTAAGCACCAATTATTAAATAAAAACAGGAGATTCATAGGATGAACGAGAAATGTTTTACCTTAATTCCTCGTCTGTGCTTCGAGCCACTTAGCTTAACTGTACTGTTTTGCTGATCATCGCAATTTTGGTAGCCAGTGAAGTTGCAGTGAAATGTAGTTGTGATTCATGTATTCTCAGCGATATACATTCTCATGAAATCTTATAAGAATAATTTTCAAGACACCACACCATTTGTTAGATTTTGTTGCTCTTAGGCAATGGTTAATAACCAAAATTACTACCACCATGGGTAGAAAATTCAAGTATTAATCACATCTGCTCCTGTTAAAATGACAGCTTGGGCATCTACAAATGCAACAGCCCATGTACCTATTGCAAATAAAAAACAGGAAGATATTCTATATTTCTGATTTTGGCTTAAATGTTTTATCACATGAACACAAATTCTTCAGATTTATAAGCTTGCAATGAATGAATAATTGCAGTAAATATTAAAGATACTAAAGCAACAAGAATCGGCATAAGCTGCATGAATTTGCAGGGCTAGTTTCAGAGGTCTAATTCACTCCTGGAGCTGAAGAAGCAAGTGGAATATGCATTCATGCAGCAGTGGACGGTTCATTTAAGCGATACAAAGTAAATGATGGCGAAGAATATATGTTTTTCGACTTGTTATTTTATTGGGTTGTTCGGAAAGTAATTTCGTTTTTTCCCGTCAGAGGACTTAATTACATTTTTTCGAAACCAACTTCACACTTAAGCCGCATAACCATTATATGTCTTGAGAGCTGATATTACAAGGCTTGTGTGTGAAAAAGTTCTATTAATTCTACGCAGTAGTTTTTGGTTGGTGCCCTTTTAAATATGGAGAGCAATAAGCAGCATTTTCGTCATATTTTACTTTTTTACTTCAGAAAAAATTAAAATGCTGTCCAAGCGAGAAACAAATTGACGGATGTGTATGGAGAAGGCATGTTAACAGTACGCCAGTGCTAGAACTGGTTTGCAAAGTTTCGATCCGGCAATTTTGATGTCGAAGATGCACCACAGTCTGGAAGGCCGGTCGAAGCTGACAAAGATGCGATAAAGGCATTAGTTGATGCAAATCGGTGAATAACCACACGAAAGAACGGTGAGAGGTTAAATTTGTCGAATTCGACTGTTTATGGCCACTTGAAAGGCCTGGGCTTAACCTCGAAGCTCGATGTGTGGGTGCCCCATGTTCTTACGGAGTGAAATTTGTGTCATCGCGTTGACGTGTGCGATTCGCTCCTCAAACGTCAGGAAAATGATCCATTTTTGAAGCGGATTATTACTGGGGACGAAAAATGGGTCGTATACAACAATGTGAAACGCAAGAGGTCATGGAGCAAAAGATGAACCGGCTCAAAGCGTTTCAAAAGCCAACATTCACCAAAAAAAAGGTGATGCTGTCCGTTTGGTGGGATTTCAAAGGAATAGTTTTTTTTTAGCTTTTTACCGGACAATAAACTATTAATTCGGAAGTTTATTGTCATCAGCTGGACAAATTGAATGATGCACTAAACAGAAGAGGCCAGAATTAATCAACATGAAGGGTGTAGTGTTCCACCAGGATAATGCGAGACCTCATACAAGTTTGGTCACTCGCCAAAACTTTTACAGCTTGAATGGGATATACTACTGCAACACCACCATATTCTCCAGATCTGGCGCCTCCGATTATTATTTGTTCCGGTCCCTGCAAAATTTTTTGGATGGTAAAACCTTTACCTCAAATGAAGATGTCAAAAACCACCTGAATCAGTTTTTTTGCCAGCAAGGACCAAAACTTTTATGAGCAGGGAATCATGTTACTGCCAGAAAGATGGCAAAGGTGTTGGACCACCAGAATGGCCAATATATAATTTAAAAAATATTTTATTCATTATACAAAAATTGTCTTTCATGTTCCCCCAAAAAAAGGAATTACTTTCCGAACAACCCAATAATTAATATCTGCAATATATGTCTCTAAAGGTATTATTAAAATTTATTTTGAACGAATATTCTTATGTCTATGTCTATTCTTATGTTACGATTTAACAAAAAACTTTACATAAAATATGAAAAAGACAGTTATTTAATTTATAGAATTGTAAATGCAGGATATCTTTCATGGATAAAGATTAAAATGTATTTACTATGTCTAATTAAGTAGCACAGAGCTTAATGCTCATTTAAACATTTACAAATAAGCTTCAGAACTACACTATAATTTTTAATTGCATTTAATAATTCTGTTGATACATACTCAAAATCATGTCTTTTATACATAGATATATCTTTCTTTCAGAACCAAGGAAACCTGAACCGCCAAAACCCAGAAAACCATGGCGTTATTAATGTTGTAGGCATAAAGGTAATTATGTAATAGAAATCATCTAACAGTACACTATAATTCAATATGATACCCTGTGGCACAAGATGAACTGGACATGAGCGACTTCACTTACTTTGAGTTCAACTTATCTTGGAAAACTTTAAAAAGTTGTTTATTTAGAGTGGAGATTTATGAAGTAAAGGGCCCATCTCACCTGAACTTTCGGGGGTTCCTCATTTTAAGGTGGTCTACTACAGCAGCATTATAATACTAAAAATTTGTTTACACGCAGAATCGCTAATTAAGAAACTATATTGCGTGAAATTTGGCAGAAATATAAAGCAATAGGTCAGTTTTGGAATCAAAATGTTAGAATCAGGTTTGGAATGAAATTTACTTAAATATTATATTTTAAAAAAATTAGTTTGAAATACGTAATTTTAATGTGTAGTTTGGAAAGCCATCAATAGATGGCGCTACGAGTTAAAATTTAACATTGTAATCTTATTTCTGCAAAAATTCACGAAGTAATTGATTTTGATATCAGTTATAAATCATATTTTTTTCTAAATAATATTTAGAAGCGTTTCATATATTCCTTTATACACAGTTTTCACTAAACATTGTCAGCTGTCAGCAGAATGACGTTTACGGCAACCCTATTGCATTGCTATTCCGCACTCGTTTTGTTTACATTTATTTGTACTGTGGTCAGTTTGCAAAAATATATGCGAAAATATCAAGGACGACCGAAAAAACATCCTGGTTTTAATAAAAGATCCAGAATTCAGCGTAAACGTCGAGCTCAAGAAAAAAATATGAAATTAAATTCCCGAGATGTGGAAGATTCCGAACAAGCGGATGTTTTTCGAAAGGTGAGAAATAATTTATTCTTTATATCGACTACCTCGTGTTTATGATTTCGTAGTAAGTTAATTCCGAAGTAAAATATGCGTATTTTTTTTTATTGAAGGTCAGAAATTATTGATACAACTGCATCTGTGTCAAAGGAGAATCATTGCCCGGATGATTTTTTTACAAAGTAAGTTTTTTTTTTTTTTTTTTTTTTTTGTTTTTGTATGTGTGTGTATGAGGGGATGCTAATAATTGTTCAATTCTGTTATAACAATTTATTCCTCCATTCACACTAAATTGTTGGGAAATATTGAAAGGGTAAATTCCAATTCACAAGGAATTGCTGAAATAATTGAATCTTTTCAAAAGTATGAGCATGTTCTTGCGATCTAAATTGAATTCACCATCATTACATGTATTATTGGAAATTTTATAGTCATATGCGACAAAATTTGCTACGAAATGCTTTTTCATCCTTCTCCTAATTCATTTAATTAAAATTATTGCATCAGTGTCAGTTACCTATGGTATATTTTTACAGGTGTATGCACATTGCATTCATGTGCTCGCTGTTCAACTTGCTTTTTTTTATTATGTATGTCATTTACTTGGATGTTAAAACTTTCTTTTAGCGTTGGAACATTTTATGATGATCATTTAGTAAAATTTATATATAAATATATATTATTGCTTGTTTACTTTATGGTTCTGTGTATTTGTCATGTATGCATGATTGTGAAGTGTAGTTTTTGAAAAATATGTCACAGAATGGTAAATTCCACCAAAAGCTGAATTGAATTGATATTGGGATGCAGGTAATTAGAAAATATCTGCTGTGTATTTTGAGCGTAAACCATACTAGTGCCAAGAATGGGACCAATACGCTTCATGGCTTGCTTAGCCTTTTTGCCATTGTCCAGATTGAATTATCTCCAGTATAAAGGGAGTGAATGCTTTCTCTGTATAACATTAAAATATCTGTCTGATCAAAATCTACCAATAAGAAACTTTTCATATGTTATCTGTGACAGACTTTCTGCAAACAGAAGTCCTCAGCTCTGTTCTTGTACATGTTTTTTAATTGTGGTTCAGATGTGTACTTCTCAAAGGAATTCTTCTCATAGGAAGATTATCTGAACATTTAAAAACTATATTCTGCTTTTAGGGGCCTAATATTTTAGGCCCCTAATATTAATATTGAAATTTCTAAAATGTTGAAAAATATGTCATCTGGATTCTGTGCAAAAAAATATAATCCCTTTTTCATTTCTGCATTTGCAATTCCTGCATTTTCTTTATTCCTACATTTTTTAATTGGAAGGAATTTCATTCGCAGAGCCCTCTAATTTATTCTTACAAATCATGTAGTAATGTACCATTTTAGATAGATATAAATAACACATTTTGTAATTTTTCTAAACTATACAGCATGATATAATAGCTACACAGGGTATGGCGAAACAGTATACAGCAATATCTGTCGCACTGTCTGAGATGGGTGGTAGTCATACATAGCTTAATGCTTAAATTTGTTATGTGTTATTTATTTATTCATGTTTTTTTTTTTTTTTTTTTTTTTTTTTTTTTTTTTTTTTTTTTTTTTTTTTTTTTTTTTAATTATTATGTATAGCAGTTTATTTCTTTCATTCTTAGGTCCGGAAGTGAAAAATTTGACTTTTCTACGCCAGAAGTTACAGCTAATGTTCCTAAGACAAACCAGGCTTTCTTGAGGTAAGTTGGTTATATTTCTAAAATAGATATTAGCTGTGCATGATATTGAAACTCTTACAGTTACTTAATTATGGTTAACTAATTATGTATTAATTTAGAAGTCAAGCAACCAAAATCAGCGTTATATTTTCAAATAGTGAATATTTCAAAATATGATGCTGATTTTTGTTGCTTGACTCTCAAATTAATACTTGGTCGGTGTGTTATTGTATCTTAATTAAACTAATTATGGTTCTTTTCTTCTCAGTTCTGATCTGGACATTTCAGTTATTGACTCTGACGTAGAAGGTAGAAATACAAGCTCTCTTTTGGGGTAAATATGTATTTCTCTATGCCAAAATTAAAATGTCATCATTTATGTTTTTTCTTTTATGGTGTTACATTATGTTGTTTACATACTGATAGCTATTAAAACTGTTAAATATAATATTGTAGCTATCAA